CTCCCAATGTACCATCAGGTGTGCTGCCTCCTGCAGGGGGTGTCACCCCTCTCAGCCGCCCGCTGACCGGTTTGACGCACAACGCAGAACCCTTTCTCGACGCTAAGTATCTTCATCCTACTGCAAATGGAGCTCAGAGGACTGGCACCGAGCCTCCACTTATGTCCGCTTACTTTCCTAAACCACGTGGTACATTGCCTACCACGTGAGCACCATATGGATGGCAAGTTTCCTGTGAAAAAAACTTTTGGGAAGTGTGAGAGATGGCCTTGCGAATCATTGAAATGTACGCGTGCGCAGAGAGGAAGCTTGTTTTAAATACAATCAATTGCATCGTTAAGGTCCGAAAGACACGGCCCTACGGGCCAGTTTTTTCCCACCTCCTTTTTCAACTGCGGAAATAACTCCCTACAAGGTGCCTTCGTTTTGAGTTCTTTTCTTTCATCAAGAAGTTGTCATGGCTATACATAGAAAGCTTCTTCGATCTCTGAATAACTTTACGCGCGAATTGAAAAAGACTATCCGAATTTAATCAAACCGGCTGTAGCTGCTTATTTTTCCCCATCGGTGAGACTTTGTTAACCGTAAACAGTCCCTCTAAGGTGAAGTTTTCGTTAAAAGATGTATGGAACCTCAGAGCCAAAAAAAATACGACGGATTAAGGGCTGCTGAGTTAAAAAAAAAAAGCAGGGTTGTGACTTTTGGCGCTTCACGGTATTTATTTGTTTTTTCTAATGACGTGAGTAACAAGTGTGCCAGATGCCAACGCGTACAATTAGAAGCAGGCTTCGGGAATTCTTGTATACCAATGTAATCTAGTAGTGCAAGAGGCAGCTTTATGTACACATCTATATAATAAAAGTCGTGGAAATGTTCAAAGTTTGTTTGGTAGCGTGGAAGCTGTAAAGAATTTCATATTTAGTGCTTCTTTTTCATCGGTGAAAATTAATTCGTTTTAGTAGTTGAAAACGAATTAATTCTCACAGATGAAAAACAGATGAAAAAGAAGCACTCAATATGAAATTATTTTAATTTGGTCCCGAAATTTCTTATTTTATACACATATATTAATAAATTATTTAATGCATTGGTAGATTACGAACCAGATCATGGAAATTGTTCGCTTGAAGAGTTACTAATTTCGTTTAAATATTGCAGTCGACGAACACGGTCTTTTCACGTCGTAAGTGGCAATTGACCATAACTACCAGATTAACAAATGTAAAGCTGTTAAATGGCGGATTTCTGCCTATTTTTAGCTCCACATGCAAATATTTGTGCCGATCGAGAATGAAAAGAAGACGACTGAACTGGTGTGACATGCACAGTTCGACACTTAGCCAAAGTGCGCGCGCTTATACATGTAAGATTGTTTGCTGCTTAGCAAGTGGCAAATTGTGGCAGATACGATTCAGTATCACTTGAACCAGTTAGAGTGTTCGCTTGGAGAGAGATATTTTGAGGATTTCTTTCTGAGCGATGCCGGCTACCGCGCTACAATACTCCACCACTGAGCTATGCGCAAGTCTGCGGTGAGTCAGGCCATCACGAGCTTCATATCTGACACGTGTCTTGCATACTTCTAGAATTAACAACTTTGAAAGCGTCATGTGAGTGAAAAAAAATTGAACAGGTGAAAATTTTTGAGCTGGGAAATGACATAAAGGAGCAGATTCATCACAAAGCTGTTCATAGGAAGGAAGTTCGATTCGTTAGTTAATTACACTCAATTTCCCGCATCAATGACGTCAGAACTAAATTACATCATTACCTTCTATGACATCATAATCACTTCTCGCCTTGGTTTCAGCAAGGAAGCAGATTCATTTAAAGATTTGAGCTTGTATGTGTAAAATTTAGTGCAAAAATTCAAGTGAGAAGTTAAAAAAATGACGAATAAGGTCCAACCCGTTGTTATAGAGGTGGGCGAAAACTCTGAAGCGAGCGGAC